TTCAATCCAAAACAAAATGACGTAACTATGCAAAGATTACACAGTGAAGTAATTTATGGCAGAAGCCTGAGATTCAAAAAGTTGAAATGGTTGGGATTTTTAGTGCCTTTGCAGCTCCTCCCTTGTTTGCTTGTAGAACCTGCCATGAGGAAGGATCCTCAGTCTAGCAGGAAGGGATCCCGCCATTTAAGAGGGAAAAGAATGCTATTCCGAGCAGGCACACCTGCTTCCAATTCTATGTGGAACACGATGCTGATGGGATAAATGAGTACACAGAATTTAGGATAAAGAAAAATCCTAGGATGAAATTTCACGAAGTAGAAGTTTGAATCTCTGCTAAATGAAATCTGGCTACCTAAATATTCTCCGGCCAGTTCAAAAGGTGAAAATGACAAGGTGAACAGCCACTGTGAGCAGCAGGAGCACAACGAAGAACAGTTTCTCTACTTGTTCTTATCTCCCTCCCCTGGTCCCTTTGCCTTTCTTATTCGTAATGTTCATGATGTCTTTTTCTTTCTTTTTTTGAGACGGAGTTTCGCTCTTGTTGCCCAGGCCAGAGTGCAATGGTGTGATCTCAGCTCGCTGCAACCTCTGCCTCCTGGGTTCAAGCGATTCTCTTGCCTCAGCCTCCTGAGTAGCTGGGATTACAGGCATGTGCCACCATGCCTGGCTAATTTTGTATTTTTAGTAGAGACAGGTTTCTCTATGTTGGTCAGGCCGGTCTCGAAATCCCGACCTCAGGTTATCTGCCCGCCTCGGCCTCCCAAAGTGCTGGGATTACAAGCGTGAGCCACCGCACCCGGTGTCTTTTTCATAGGCTGTATAGGTTTTAACTCAGTGTCCTTGCATGACAGGGTAACAAATCACATATTTTAAGATTTGGGCTGAAAGGCGCTTAATCTTTAGGATAAAAAAAGGTCCTTCTCAATCTACTGAATGAGCAGGACAATAAACACAAACAAGACATGGTGGACACTTGCCTCCATGTGCAAGGGATTTATTATTGGATCCATCATTTATTATGGACCCATGCCCCGGCTTGTCAATAGGAGACGCCTTTCAAAGAGCCTGCCTGGCTAAAACACTTTTTCTTGGCTTAAAAAAAAAAAAAAAAAAAAGTCCTTAGGCCAGACACAGTGGCTCACGCCTCTAATCCCAGCACTTTGGGAGGCTGAGGCGGGCGGATCACGAGGTCAGGAGATGGAGACCATCCTGGCCAAGATGGTGAAGCCTGTCCTACTAAAATACAAAAAATTAGCCGGTCATGGTGGGGGACCTGTAGTCCCAGCTACTCAGGAGGCTGAGGCAGGAGAATCCCTTGAACCCAGGAGGCAGAGGTTGCAGTGAGCCAAGATGGCACCACTGCACTTCAGCCTGGAGACAGAGTAAGACTCCGTCTCAAAAAAAAAAAAAAAAAAATCTTCACTAGTTACCTGTTACTCGCAAGTTACAGTTCAAACCATTTAACAGGGAAAAATTCCAGGAGAGTATACACAAAGCCTTAAAAATGCTTCCCAGTCATAATGCCTTTTTAAAGAAAATCAAGATCAGATCTTAATGGTTTTCAATGACATGTGCTTCAAGAGAAACCAGACCTGTTCCTCAGACGATCTAGAAGGGAAACTTACCTTTGGCTCTGTAGCCAGATATCCCCAGGTTGGAAGGTTGAGTGGTTGAAGGTCAGAGGAAATGCACCCAATGCTTCTGTGGTTCCATAGGCTCCAGTGTCTTCTTCTATTACACTGTATTTTAATTGCCAGCTTCCTTGCCTATATTTCACCTCCACACCAAAAGCTCTATGAAGATAGGGACTGAGTCTTGTCAGGATCTGACACAGCACCTCATATCAGACACTCAGTATTTGTTAAATGAATGCATATGAAACCACTGAAACCTGGAGACACAACATAAAGTAGCAGAAAAAGAAACAGGCCAGACGTGGTGGGTCATCCCTGTAATCCCAGCACTTTGGGAGGCTGAGGCAGGCGGGTCACCTGAGGTCGGGAGTTCAAGACCAGTCAGACCAACATGGAGAAACCCCGTCTCTATAAAAATACAAAATTAACAGAGTGTGGTGGTACACGCCTGTATTCCCAGCTACTCGGGAGGCTGAGGCAGGAGAATCGCTTGAACCCGGGAGGCAGAGGTTGTGGTGAGCTGAGATTGTGCCATTGTACTCCAGCCTGGGCAACAAGAGTGGAACTCCGTCTCAAAAAAAAAAAAAAAAAAAAAGAGAAACATCTTGGTTCTCAACTTTATTATTGATTCCGAGTAAAAAATTTTCTGGATTTTTTTCCTGGATAAACAAAAAGATGGGATAGGATTGTTAAGGGTTTCTCCAGCATTATAATTCTAAGACTAATATGTACAAAGCATTTTTAAAATTGTAAGACTGACAGTTGAGTGAACACACCAGAATTCCTCAGTGTAAATGAACATTAGCCCCTTTAAAGGTGGGGGTGGGTACTCTGACGAGTTAATTACTCATTCAACTATGAAAGCCAATTTGGAACATTTTTGTAGCTTAAAAAATTTATACAAGCAACACGTATTTATTAATTACTAAAAATAAATTAGAAATCACAAAAGGGAGGCTGAGGGGAACAATAGCTTGAGTCCAGAAGGTTCGAGACCAGCCTGGGCAACATGGGGAAACTGAATCTCTATAAAAAAATACAAAAATTAGCTGGGTGCAGTGGTACATGCCTATAGTCCCAGCTACTTGGGAGGCTGAGATAAGAGGATTGCTTGAGCCCAGGAGGCGGAGGTTGCAGTAAGCCGAGATTCATGCTACTGCATTCCAGCCTGGGCAACAGTGTGAGACTCTGTCTCAGAAAAAGAAAAAAAGAAAAGAAAAGAAAAGAAAATCATAAAGGTGGAAGGGAATTTAAATTTACCCACAATCATACAAAGACAACCACTACCGCCAGTCTGGGTATAAATACTCCTAAGTTCTCCTGTTATAAACATACGTTGTATGTTTACATTTATTTTCCTCTGTAAAACCAGGGTTATTTTACACTGGTAACCTCTTTTACTTAATATAGTATGAGTATCTTTCCACATACTTTGTAACCACAGTAATCTATAGAGTGGTAATATTAATTTATTTAAACAATGACCCACTTAGGTTGTTTATCTGTCACTATGATAAAAATGCTGCACTACATGTCCTAGTACATTTTTATGCACATAATTATGTTCTCAAAATAATTATCCAGAAGTGAACTTTTGGGAGCAAGGCTGTCATTTTTTTTTTTTTTTTTTTTTTTTTTGAGGCGGAGTCTCGCTCTGTCGCCCAGGCTGGAGTGCAGTGGCCGGATCTCAGCTCACTGCAAGCTCCGCCTCCCGGGTTCCCGCCATTCTCCTGCCTCAGCCTCCCCAGTAGCTGGGACTACAGGCGCCCGCCACCTCGCCCGGCTAGATTTTTGTATTTTTTAGTAGAGACGGGGTTTCACCGTGTTAGCCAGGATGGTCTTGATCTCCTGACCTCGTGATCCGCCCGTCTCGGCCTCCCAAAGTGCTGGGATTACAGGCTTGAGCCACCGCGCCCGGCCAAGGCTGTCATTTTTAAGTCACGAGCAAGGCTGCATTTTTTTTTCGCGATGGAGTTTCACTCTTGTCGCCCAGGCTGGAATGCAGTGGTGTGATCTCGGCTCACTGCAACCTCTGCCTCCCAGGTTCAAGCAGTCCTCCTGCCTCAGCCTCCTGAGTAGCTGGAATTACATGCACCCACCACCACACCTGGTTAATTTTTGTATCTGCAGCCAAGGCTGCAGTTTTAACTCAGTTGATTTGTATGCGGTTTTTTCTCTTTCGTAGCAGACTCCCATCCTTTTGATAGTAGATAAATAGTCACTGGAAGCAGCCAAGAGTCACCAGACTTTGGTCAAGTGTAGTGATTAAAGTGAGAGATCACGGAGGCAATACTAGTTTTGGTCGAAAGCCTCTGACTATAGGGCAATGTGAATGGTTTTCACATGTGACTCAAAGTAGCTCTAAAGGCAATAACAACAGGAATTCCAAAACCATTGTGGGCAATTGGTTCATCACCAAACCAAGCATATTACTTCCAAAAGAGTGACTATGAAGGCAACACACTGAGCTAGGTGATAATGCTTTCTCATGATTCATAATGTTACACATATATCTCATTCACACACAGAAATTCTGAATGGTTGAGTCAATCAATTCATTTAATAAAGTAGATGTACTAGCTTACCTAAAACTTTAATATTTGCAATATTTTTTCAGTATGACATTCTCATAAAAACGTATTCACCACTTGAATGGTACTTCACATACATTATCTTTTTAATGTTCACACTACTACCACAAATATAAGTATTATTCTCCCCATGTTATAAATGAGAAAATGGAGACTCAGAGAAAATGTGATTTGTGCAAGGCAACAACAGCTGATAAAACCAAGATGCCAATACAGATCTGTTTTGCTTCAAACACCACGTTCTTTTTATTTTCTGACCCTGCCACATAGCACCTTTGAATAATTCTTAAATGTATCATTATAGGGTTGTTCAATTTTTAGCTGCAATGCTTAATATTTCTTAATGACTCTATTATTACTAGTGAATAATCCTACTCTTTATTTAACCTGGAAGTGAGCTGAACAAAACTGAAGGTATTGCTTATGAACAGACTTACTTATATTCTTGAGGAAAACTGGAAGTAACTACAAAAAGCCATTTATTCCACTTGAATGAAGTAAATATTGATACTAGACCTTACATTTAAAGAGACCAGTCTAGCAAGTGACTCTCATTTTAACAATAACCATATTAAAGAGAAAAAAATAGGGCAGTAAGTTAAATAAAAGGCTAATAAAACTTGGAGGAAACAGCTAAGTGTTTTCTTTTAAACCCCAAAGAATACCAAATGTATGTTATGTTGCATAAAGAGTCATTTCAAGAGAAGACTATTAACAACCCAATAGTAGAGTCAGCATTAAGAACTTCAATGATATTCAACTCAAACATGCGTAGGGAGAGTAAAGTTATTTTATTAAATCATGCACATCACGTATGTTAGTGCAAATAGTTTAATCTGTACTCCAGAAATTCTATTGTAGTTTATATCTTTACAAAATAGATTTAAAACAATTATTTACTTTAAAAAATGTAATTCTGAAGTTAAGCATTTCAGAACAATATTTGCAATAACCTATATACAAGAGGTACTGGGTACCACTGGCATATTAGCATTCTGTGGTGGAGTGGCTTCCTGCAACAGAAAATGATGAAATGAACTATATGACAGTATTTTCTACAAGTCATTTGTGACTAATTCCTCCATAAATCTAGTGATCCTCCCAACAGCAATCCCAAACAGCTTAAAATATAACCTTTAAAGTATAAACAGTGACTGCCAAACATCACAAGGCAAATTATACCCTAAACTCCTATTTCAATATTTGACTAGACCTGTGGATTGCCACAGAACATTCAAGCCAATTCACTGACATTCCCTCCCGGTCTTCACTGACTGAAAAATTTAACTATGTGATATTTTAGGATATTCTAAGACCTAAATAAACTTTATTGACATAACTATGATGCCACACAAAACCATGGCTAAACTTTCACTTGTGTTTTAAATTTATAACATCAAGCAGTGTTTTTAGGTGCTTCATTGTGCATAGAACACTATATCTTGGGAATAGTGCATTTCATTAACAAAAAGTCCCAATTAACAACAATAAAAAGAAAATAACCATTTGCATACCCAACCAGGAAATCTGTTGGTAGGTACAACAGCTCACCCTGAACATGAATTAGCTCTGACACATCATAAACCAAATTAGGTCAATACAAGCTTATCTAAAGAGATATTAATACTTTCTTCAATTAAACATGCTTGGAGGAATAGATGACAGAAAAAAAAATCATGCTTCCTAAAATGCTGTATATGAGAAAGTAACTTGGCTTTTAAAGAAAAATATCTCTTTAAATACATGAGGTTTAATAAATTACATTCCAATTGACTCAACAGTTTGGTTGACTGCACTGAAATTGTATAATTACTACGTTTTTGCTCCCAGAAATTCTTCAGTTTGCTCAAGAAAATACACACTCTCATGGAAAGTTTTTTAAAGTTGATGTCCTCCACATCTTCAAGTCACATTAAGGCTGAACAAGCGTGCACATATTCCCCAAATTATCACCATAACAGTTTATTTTCCAAATGTATTTTTCCTTAAAAAAAAAAAAATCCACGCAAATAGTTGTCTCTAGGTCTTGTTCCCAATAGCTCAGTGGTTTTATAATGAGTAAAAATGGCGTAAATATGTAAAAAATATATATATATGTGTATATATTTCAAACTGATAGGCACTGAGCACACAGGGCCTCTCTTCCCATGTATGTATTGGTTGTTTGGTTTGGGTAGTTATCGAATCAGAAAAATGAATTATCTGGTCATCAGAATTCAGAGTAAAATACTCATAAATTTAATGTTATAAATAATCTGGTGTACCAAGAAGCCTACTTTAGGCCACCATAATATTCAGAATCTCAACATACTAATTTAAAAATTACATGAAAAATTGCAAGCAAATTATTGCTTACAGTAGAATAAAGTCACAATTTTATATCTTCTTTATAGACAGATACATTTTATATAATTTAAAGCAATGACCCTACAGCTGTATTCTTGTACTTCTGCTGTTTTAAGAGGTAAAGAGGAAGAAAATGGTTCTGTTTGTCCCCAGCATGAGTGTGATGCCAGCTTCTAGAGGGAGGACGGTGTACGGACTCAAGGAACGCTCTCATGGAGAAGCTCTGGCCAGACCTGGCACGTACAGCACGATGGCTGTTACTGCAACCAGGGCAGCCAACATGGGCATCCAGGGCCAGGGTTTCTGTGTGGAAAGAAACCAAGAGTCAATATCACATTCTCCCCTCTGTTTTCATACCTATTAACCCCTTGGTTCCAGAGAGTCCTGAATACTTAACAGAATATTGGAAAAATCTTATCTTTGCATCATAAAAATAAAGTTTGAAAAGAAAAAAAAAAGTGAGGGAGTGCAGGTATGAGGAGAGCCATAATAGCCGGACCACCAATTTGGAAGTCTAATACATCCCAAGAAAGTCCTGGGAAGTTTTCAACTTTGTTACAGTTGAAACCTAATAGTGACTTCTAAGAAAATTTGTGGGCTCTGCCTGCTTTATTTACTCTGGTATCCATATATTCCAATATAACTGATGTATACAGACACCTGTAGTATGTTTCTGCCCAAAATGTTTATTTACTGATAAGAACCAGTATGCGAGGGGATAGTGGCCAAGGTGATAATGGTCTAGGCTTTGGTTCTCGAACTTGAAACCACAGAAGATAAAATCAAACAGGGTTCAAGATGGAGAAGTAACATTAGGGATCCTGCCTGTCTGACAATTCTGGTAAAGACTCTGTTCAGTGTAATAAAGCCACATGATCACCTCTTATGCTCTACTAACATGCATGCCAGTTAGAGACAAGCATGGATGGGCTGTTGCCTGCTAGCTTTTAGAGGGCTTTATAAGATCAACTTGCTTTGATTGAGACTTGTATTCTTACTTGTATTCCAGGAGTATTATTGAGAAAAACTGGTTTTTAAAGAAATATTCTGATGTTGCGGTCAGGGCTCAGAAAGAAACGGGATACGTTTATATCCTTGCGAGTACACAGTGGGGTTGAGATTGTGAGCCAATGGTTCATTATGTTAATCTCATTCTTTTTCATCTTCATAGGCATAGTATAAACAGGCAAAGGGTTGAAACAAAGAAAATCTACACTATGAAAAGGAAGAGGATAAAGAGGAAGAGGAAGAAAGCTGGCTGAAAACTTCAAGGAGGCAAACTCTTCATTTCTCATTCAAATCTGATTAAACACATAATTGGAAAGAGGGTACTAATATTGCAGAAATTCATAGTGTACTCCAGTTTGCTAGAGATAAAGACTCAGTTAATGGAAGCATATTAACAACTGGTTAGGTTGGAATTAACTCATGGTTAGCATTACTACAAAGTAAACAAGACAAAAAGTTACGGGATTAGTTGACTGTTCAGTTCATTGGTATGACACAAATACATGGCATACTAAATGAAGGGTTTGCTTCAGGTAACAAAATACCTGTGTGTTCTTGCCATGCACTATATTACAAATACGGCACAAAAAGGTGACGGGGACGAACAGACAAGGACTCAACAATAGTGCTTGTACCTTTCTCTACCACAATGGACCGAAACACCAAAACAGGAAAGCCAGGAATAGGCCGATGAATACGGCTGGGACGGGTTGTAATATGGAAGGCTAAAGAAGGGAAGGCATATTAAAATCATTTTATGCTATGAAAATAATCAGATAAGAGGATTCAGACCCCAGTAGGGTGGGAGGTAGGAAAGAAAGAATGAAATAATAGAAGTATACCACTCAGGTTTTGCACAGATTCAAACATTTTAAAGACATCTAACACAATCTGATAGACTGTGGTGTGCAAGTTGGGAAACTATCAGTTTAAAAGGAACAGCTAGGCTCAATGCCTGTAATCCCAGCACTTTGGGAGGCTGAGGCAGGTGGATCACCTGAGGTCAGGAGTTTGAGACCAGCCTGGCCAACATGGTGAAACGCTGTCTCTACTAAAAATACAAGTTAGCCAGGCATGGTGGTGCATGCCTGTAATCCCAGTTACTTCAGAGGCTAAGGCAGGAGAATCGCTTGAACCAGGAGGCAGAGGTTGCAGTGAGCTGAGATAGCGCCACTGCACTCCAAACCGGGTGACAGAGTAACACTCCATTAAAAAAAAAAAAAAAAAAACAGCTGAAGGCAATGGGCAATGGGGGTATACCTAACATTCTAACGAAATATAGCACATGAAGACAGAGCAAGTTGGGTGTAGTGGCTCATGCCTGTAATCCCAGCACTTTGGCAAGCTGAGGTGGGCAGACTGCTTAAGGCCAGGAGTTCGAGACCAGCCTGGGCCACATGGCAAAACCCTGTCCCTACAAAAAATACAAAAATTAGTTGAGCATGGTGGCACATGTCTGTAATTCCAGATACTTGGGAAGCTGAGGTAGGAGGATTGCTTGAGCCGGGAAGGTCAAGGCTGCAGTGAGGTGAGATCACGCCACTGCACTCCAGCCTGGGCGACAGAGCAAGACCCTGTCTCCAAAAAAATAAAAACCAAAAAAACAAAAAACAAACCACTGACAACACTTCACCATCAGCTGATGCTCTCTGCTTGACAGTACACTATTTTTGCTTGATACCTGAAATCCATTATTTGACAATGTACTCCCTTAGCAATGGTTAAAGTTTATTTTATGCCTCTAACAAAATCTTTTTTTTTTCAACCAAAGCTCTTTTGCTTATTAGATGATACAGCTTTCAAGCTTAAAAATAAATGCCCTGTGACAATGCGTGCTTCCTAAATCAGGCAAGACATTTGACATGTAATAAAGGTTTGGTATATAAAGACAGGCAGGGCTGGATGCGGTGGCTCACGCCTATAATCCCAGCACTTTGGGAGGCCGAGGCGGGCAGATCACCTGAGGTCGGGAGTTCGAGCCCAGCCTGACCAACACGGAGAAACCCCATCTCTACTAAAAATACAAAATTAGCCAGGTGTGGTGGCGCATGCTGTAATCCCAGCTATTCGGGAGGCTGAGGCAGGAGAATCGCTTGAACCCGGGAGGTGGATGTTGCGGTGAGCTGAGATCATGCCATTGCACTCCAGCCTGGGCAGCAAGAGTGAAACTCCATCTCAAACCAAAAAAAAAAAGAAAAAAAAAAAGAAAAAAAAAAGGCAGCTGACTCTCAGGGCTTTCAATTATGTTACCAGAATATAATTATAATAATTTTTAAAATGGGAAGAAAATTGCTACAATGAGTGTTATTACAGAGTGATATTTTAGTACCATAAGTGCAATATCACAAAAAAAAGGAAATTCACCCGTAAGGTGAATTGTAGCTATAAATAATAATAGCAAAGTTACTTTTGAAAAGGTTCTAAATAGTACGGGGGGGATCCATTCTGATTATGCTAGATGTCTTCATGGGTTATTGAGCAGTAGACTGAAATTCCAAAATCCCAAGGATATGAATTAACACAAAAGAAAGACGTAATCAAACCACTGTGATCTGATTTTAGAAGAGTTATGTAATCTACATTTTGAAAAGTAAATGCAAACCATTTTCCTTAGCATAAAGCCTCCACACCCAGTTCATCAACTTCTAAAAGACTTCTACCTAAGCAGCAAGCCTTTATTATCTACAAACTAAGACTTTCTTTAGCAAAGGACAGTTGGACGCAACTCATGAGCATTCTGTGTGCAAATGAGTAACAGGATGGCCATGCAACATCACTCTTTTGTACTTGTGCTGCAAGGTAAGCAGAGTGGCTTCCTCCATCGGAAGTATGTGGCTCACGCACACTGCAGTGTCCAAGCCATGACAGTGGTTTTAAATAAGTCAGAGCACAACCAACCACACTAAACATCTATCAGGGCCCACAAAGGTAACGATCACCAAACGTACAACACACATTTATTTAGTATAGTATCTTTTTAAAGACCATCTGTCTTTCTAGCAAATGAAAAACAAAAAAATATTAAACTCAATTTACACCAAAATGTTCATCTCTCTCCCTCTCTCATGGGACTACAGAAACTCACCAAATATTTTCTAATATTTACATAATGACAAAGAGACATTAAGCTTTTTAGAAACTGTGCCTCAGTGAGAACATTATTGGTATAAGAACAACATATACTACTCTGTCTTAAATGGATCCCTGGTGGTACAGTGCTTCATTTCCCAGCAGGGGAGAAATAAGAGCCAGATGATAGCTTAGTGACAGAGCTTCAGACTCATCTGGGAAAAGCTGACAGTTCTTAGGCAAGCTGCTTTATTGCAAACAAGGCTCTTCCTCCAGGCAGTCCCGAGGCTCTTCTAGGGGTATAGGTTAAAGGCACAAATTCTTACTTAAAAATCTGACAGCACAGTGATTCTATCATGGAATTTCATAATGAAAAGTCTATTTCATTTGTACCATTTGCTTCACAAATCAGTGATAAAGTCCTCTGAAAATCAATTTCAATCTCTCATGTGCCTCTCAATCAAAGCTAAGCCAAGTTTGCAAAGACTTACATTATTTCCTTTCTCTCGGAGCAGCTTCAGGTTGTTTTTACACTGTTTGAGCTCATCTGTGATTGACTGCTTTTCCTGCTCAGTCATTTCAAACTTCAACTTCAGTTCTGAGAGTACAGTCTGTGTCTTTTCATACTAAAGGCAAAGAAAAAAAAGTGTGCAGATTCAACTTAAAATGGGTATGAAGTTATGGTTCTAGTCAGGCTTATATGCCAGACCCTATTTAGTCACCTGGAACACCAAAGTCAAGTCTTTTTGCTTAAGGAGGAATAACTTGCACTCATAAGAAGTCTTTTGGCTGAGCGCGGTGGCTCACGCCTGTAATCCCAGCACTCTGGCAGGCCAAAGTGGGCGGACCACAAGGTTAGGAGTTTGAGATCAGCCTGACCAACATGGAGAAATCCCATCTCTACCAAAAATACAAAAATTAGCTGGGTGTGGTGGCGCATGCCTGTAATCCCAGCTACTCCTCAGGAGGCTGAGACAGGAGAATTGCTTGAACCTGGGAGGCAGAGGTTGCAGTGAGCCAAGATAGTGCCACTGTGCACTGCAGCCTGGGTGACAGAGGGAGACTCCATCTCAAAAAAAAAAAAAAAAAAACAGAAGTCTTTAATGTTGACTTTATTCTATGTAAGAATTTTCTGGCCCTGGAGTTAAAAAAAATTAAGAGTAATCACCATTTTGTCATCTGTTTTTAATATAAAGGATCACTTTTCCCACCAAGTGAATTATAGGAAAAAAGGAAAATTTCAAACTGAGCAAAAGAAAAGTAGGTGAAGAAAAATTCCATAGCCAACGTTAGGAAGCCTGAGTTTATATCCTGGTAAGGAGTGTCAACCAAACTATTTCAGTCTTGAAGTAAAAAGTATTAATTCCCTATAGGTTTCCCTTTACCCAGCATTACTGGGTATTAAAGTGTTCTGGATAAGTGAATTTTCTAGGCAGATGAAGCAAAGAAATGTATCTGAAGTACCCACCACTATGATTGGGAAATTTCTATTTCTCCACTTAAAACAGGCATCGGCTGGGCACAGTTGCTCCCATCTGTAATCCCAGCACTTTGGGAGGCCAAGGTGGGCGGATCACTTGAGTTCAGGAGTTCGAGACTAGCCTGGCCAACGTGGCAAAACCCCATCTCTACTAAAAATACAAAATTAGCCAGGCATGGTGGCACATGCCTGTAATCCCAGCTACTTGGGAGGCTGAGGCTGGAGAATCGCTTGAACCCAGGAGGTGGAGGTTGCAGTGAGCTGATATGGCACCACTGCACTCTAGCCTGGGCAATAAGAGTAAAACTCCATCATCTCAAAAAACAAAACAAAACAAAAAAAACTTAGGTTATCAACTAAAAGTCATTTAAAAAAATCCGAGACTCCGTCTCCAAAAAAAAAAAAAAAAAAAAAAAAAAAAAAAAAAAAATCTGTTTCTGATAGAAATTTTATTTTTATTTTATGTATTTATTTTTTGAGACGGAGTCTAGCTCTGTCACGCAGGCTGGAGTGGAGCGGTGCGATCTCAGCTCATTGAAACCACCGCCTCCCAGGTTGAAGTGATTCTCCTACCTCAGCCTCCTGAGTAGCTGGGATTACGGGCACCTGCCGCCACGTCTGGCTATGTTTTGTACTTTTAGTAGAAACGGAGTTTCACCATGTTGGCCAGGCTGGTCTTGAACTCCTGACCTAGAGTGATCCGCCTGCTTTGGTCTCCCAAAGTGCTGGGATGACAGGCATGAGTCACCATGCCCCGCCTGTTTCTGGTAGAAGTTTTTAAATAGCAAAACTTGCCATTTTCTGCTCTGGAAAACAATTTACTGTATATACTTTGACTTTCACATAGAGTCACATCCTTTTAAAGACCATCTGCCTTTTAAAGGTGAGACCAATATGAAACATAATATGGCTTACCCCTACTTTAAATGGTGCCTGGAGGCTGAAATTCTAGACTGGTTCCACTTCTAGATACTACATCTTACACACAAGCTGGGCTCACAGTCAAAGAGCAGAGATTGTTCTGCTACTGGCTGTGCCTTTGTCTCCACTTCCACTACCTCACTCTGCCATCTGTCTCTTTTTTTAGACGGAGTGTCACTCTGTCACCCAGGCTGGAGTGCAGTGGTATGATCTTGGCTCACTGCAACCTCCACCTCCTGGGTTCAAGGGATTCTTGTGCCTCAGTCCCCGGTACAGCTGGGCTTACAAGCATGCACCACTATGCCTGGCTAATTTTTTTGTATTTTTATTACAGATGGGGTTTCACCTTGTTGGCCAGGCTGGTCTCGAATGCCTGACCACCTCAGTCTCCCAAAGTGCTGGGATTACAGGCGTGAACCACCGCACCTGGCCCTATTCTGCCATCTCTGAAGGTTTTAGAAGGAAGATAGACAAGGATTGAATATAAAATAGATATACCATGGGTAAAGTATACCAGAAAGGTTCCTCCTTGTCCCTAAAGGTAGTTTATGAGGGTAGAAAGTTTCCAGTTCCTCTCTACCTATATCCCAGAAATTCTTCAGTAAAGGAAACCTTTATATGCTTCTGAAAAATGTAAATACCTTGGAATTACTAATTAGCAGCCCATCATCATGCTCAACAAAGATAAATATTAAGAAGGAATGTAAATGTATAAAAACATTAGACAAGAGAGATGGGGCTTAGGGTCAACATAGAGGTCACCAGAAAAAGAGAAGAAAGATATGGGTACAGAGAGGGAAGTAAAATATGAAAGACACTCCCTGTTACCTAACAACATTCCCACAACAAGCCTGGATAGTATGCCAGAGAATGAGCTAAAGGAGTACAATTCACGGGCTTTATGACAGCTTTCTTCAGTTGATGTGAAGATCTGTGGACTTCCTTCCAGAAAGCAGAAGATTACTGGCATATTGCCAAGGCAAAGTAACTGTACCCACACTAGTTTCTGCAAATTGGAACATGATAAATTCTCAATAACCCATGATCTGATTCTTAACAGGGACCAATAAAGAATAAGGAAAGAGTGCTTTGTTGACAAGTTTTCTCTTACTTTCCTTTTCCACCATTCTTACTTCTAGTCTGCCCTGTGTACCAAAGCACTTATTTCTCCATTCCAGGAGTTGTGAAGCAGAGCCACAGGAAGGCAGCTCAACCAGGGGGATCCTGTTGTTCACCTCCAGCATGTGAAGGGGTGGCAAGGACTCTGGCCCCACGGCAAGAAGGTAAAGCCAAATAACTCTCTTGAGTCAGTCATTACAGGGTGGACTATGTGCTCAATGTTTTATGAATTTTTTTTTTTTTTGAGACAGAGTTTCGTTCTTGTTGCCTAGGCTGGAGTGCAATGGCGCGATCTCGGCTCAGCGCAACCTCCACCTCCTGGATTCAAAGTGATTCTCCTGTCTTAGCCTCCTGAGTAGCTGGGATTACAGGCGCATGCCATCAAGCCTGGCTAATTTTTGTATTTTTAGTATAGACGGGGTTTCATCATATTGGTCAGACTGGTCTTGAACTCCCGACCTCAGGTGATCTGCCCACCTTGGCCTCCCAAAGTGCTGGGATTACAGGAGTGAGCCACTGTGCCTGGCCTATAAATTCTTAAATTATAGATATTTCTACTAAATTAAAATATAGTGACGCTTTCTAAAGTCAAATATAAAGATGATACATCATTATTTCCTTTTAATACTGAGGATTAAGATTTACTTTTTTTTTTTTTTCCCCTGAGATGGAGTTTTGCTCTTGTTGCCCAGGCTGGAGTCCAATGGCTGGAGTGCAATCTCAGCTCACTGCAACCTCCGCCCCCCGGGTTCAAGCAATTCTCCTGTCTCAGCCTCCTGAGTAGCTGGGATTACAGGCGCATGCCATCATGCCCGGCTAATTTTTGTATTTTTAGTATAGACAGGGTTTCATCATATTGGTCAGGCTGGTCTTGACTTCAGGTGAGCTGCCCGCCTCGGCCTCCCAAAGTGCTGGGATTACAGGCATGAGCCATGGCGCCCAGACAAGATTTACTTTTTGCATGTACTTTTTCTTTGTTTAATATTCATATAAATGTTGCCACATATATAAATTTCAATTTGTACAACAAAGGTCACCTACTGCAGCCTTGCTTGGCTATCATTTTTGCTCCATCTTGCTTTCTAACTCTGAGGTGACAAATGAGCTTGGTCCTGATTAAGAGGGAAATATCACACAATATTACCAACACCTTTGGTTCTTCTTCATAAAAAGAATCGTATCTGGGCTTGCTTAGCTTGTAATATTTTAGTCTGTTACAGTGCTGAAAATACATAATTAGATACTGTGCATATTAAGCATGATTCTATGAGAGAAAGAAGAACAAAGGGGAAATGTTGAAGGGAAATATATGTGCATTAATAAAAGGCAATAATTCATTTGCAGTGGATTACACAGAGATAAGAACCACATTAAAGAACATTTTAGTTATAGTATACAGCTATAACTAAACTATAGTATATAGTATCCAACATGTTAACATCTGGACAAACAGAAAGAGAGCAATTTCACATTACAAAGGAGTGTGATGACTACACATCATTTCACAATGGAAAACAGTGAACAAGAAAATAGAAAAGAAACATACTGACAAGATCAGACATATTTTTAAATGTGCTGCATTTAATGCAATCCAAGACTATCAACAATTTAGATGCTGTGACAACATGCCACTGCCATTTGTGGAAACAGTTAAAGCATTTTGCACCGATTACTCAGTGACCAAAAACAGGCAAACAAATAATGCAACAAAATGGCTAATGCATTCATAGTAACATACAACAGAATAATCTTCCAACCACAGCATTCTTCCCAGAGTTTGAAAGAACTATGGCATATGGACTGGAAGGACACAAAGTGCTTACAGTATTAAATACTAAGGTATTTACTTTGGACAAAATTTGTGTTCCAACCAAATAAAATGAGATTTCTTCTAAAACACATATCTTTAGTAAGGTAAAAATGAACACATTACAAAATCAATATGTCCACAAGAAAATAAAAAATGTTACAGTATTTCTTTTCATTAGGAACAAACATGAAGACAGAAGAACAATCATTGCCAAATTCAGGACACTACAAGGAAAGAAAAGTGCAAAGAAAAACTGCATTGATTAAGCAGATCTTCTAGAAACAACTTTGGGAAAGTTCATTATTAAAGACAAAGAGTTGTCTTCAACTTCCTTCTAATTCATAAAGAATCCCTTTAAGAAAGTCTACAACTGGGGTGGTCCCTGATCTGTAGATCAAGTTGTATCAGGCTTCTCCATTCCCCGAGCTGGCCAGGAGTTAATGCAGGGAGTGGTATGAGCCCAGCAGGACTGAAGGCAGCTCTTACTGCCCTGCTGTCAACTTCAAGGCTTTGAGAAGTGAAATACACCTCTCTTGCTCAGGAAGAAATTGGGTAGGGTTTCTGTTCCAAAGTTAATTGTTATGACTTCAACACAAGTTTTTAAAAAGCCACTCAATTTAAGGTTTTAAGCAGAATGACACGAAAAGTGAGCATGCACATTTATGAATAAGGTAAAAAGGGGGTGGGAGAAGAAAGTAAAAGGCCACAGAACATGTGTTTGGCTGGCTGCCTGGCTATGAGGTGAATTTTAAGTAACTTTTCAGGCCATATTTACCTGAGGGGTTCAGATAGCATTAGAGTATGGCCTCAGTTTGCTTTCCAAAAGTATGCTAAGTTACATACGATACTCTCTTTGAAAGTTAAATAGATCAAGAGACCTGGGACAAAGGGTTTCTCATATAATTAACTGGTAGAGAAAAATTAAAATGTAGTTTTGTATATTGTATTTTTGACACCAACCCTACTGAAGAATTCTCTATAAATGGACCATGATACACAGCTAGAAATCACCAAGCAGAGAGGTTCCAAGTATCAATTTTGTGATAGGTAATGTGACTTCTGCTTCCCTTTAATTCTAACTAGCATGGATATCTGATTTGCTTTTGGCTTTAAGTCCAACCATAATTGGGCTCATAATGTCTTTTCGCTTTACCTCTTTCTGTACATCCTTTGCTTGGTTTTCAGCCTTACTGAGAAGAGTTTTTAAGTCAGCTGAATCCCGAAGATGCTGTTCTTTTAAGGATCCGACTTGATTCTCAAGTTCTTTCCTAGACATTTGAAGGATGCTGAGATCACTGGTAAGCTCTAAACTCTGCTTCTGAGAACTGCAATATAAATATTGACAGATAGTTATTCACAGGTAGAAACTGGACACAGAAGGAAGTCCAGTTTCTTATACATTTCACTAGAAGGGATAGAGTGTATTTCAGAGAAAAAAAAAAGTATAAAAAAGAATGAAATATTTTCATTCAATAAGCAAAAACCATCAAAACACTAAAAAATTACAAGCTTAAAGGTGTGTCCCATCAAGTATACACAAAGGTTGAAATTTTAAAAACAGAAATAGGAGGTAATTAACTGTATATTTTGTTGTATCAAATTGTATTAATTTCATCATAAAAAGATTCAGTATAGGTCTTCTACAGGAAAAGAACACACATATTTCAACAATTTCTTGTAAGTTTAAATACTTGACAAATAGAATGGGGGTCAGAAACTTAAAGCTTAGGAGTCACTGCTAATTCAAGTAAAGATAAACCTGTTCAAATGAGAAGACACACCAAATTGAGAAACGAGCATAAGACAAAGAAGTAGGAGGCTGAGTTCTACACCCCAAGCTCTGCCACTATTTAGCTGGGGGATGTTAAGCAAGTCACTTAACTGGTACATTTCATTTTCAGAATAAACTTTCTGAGCTCTTAGACCTATACAAGATACCATGTAATATATACATAACTAACACAACAAGAGTCTCAGTGCCCTTCACTGCCAAGTAACAGGATTGAATCATTAACTTCTGAGGCTATTCCCAAGGTTAATAAATTCTATGATTACCTTTGTGTTTTTTGAGACAGCGTTTCGCTCTTGTTGCCCAGGCTGGAGTGCAATGGCGTGATCTCAGCTCACTGCAACCTCCGCTTCCCGGGTTTAAGTGATTTTCCTGCCTCAGCCTCCCGAGTAGCTGGGATTACAGGCATGCGCCACCATGGCCGGCTAATTTTATATTTTTAGTAGTGACGAAGTTTCTCCATGTTGGTCAGGCTGGTCTCAAACTCCTGACCTCAGGTGATCTGCCCGCCTCGGCTCCCAGAGTGCTGAGATTACAGGCGTTGAGCCACCACAGTCTCTATGATCACTTTTATAACTTGATGTTAAAAAAATCTGACTTACAACATACGCGGAAAACAGCTTGATATGTGTGAACAGAAATTCCATCTTCAATTCCTTCTTCCACAGCCCAGACAACAGAGAATAAAAGGTCTGCACAGTATAGCTGTGTTAGGGAATTTGGCTCCCATAAATAGCTAAAGGAGTATAAGGTTTTCAAGGTGACAGTTTTACAACTTTCAGAATGGATCATTCAAGAATCAGACTCACTACTGTAACTGAACTACTACAGAGTCTGAATCCCATTTTGATTGTATGCTTCACAGATTCTTTGGGGTGGGTCTGATGTTGTCAAGTCAATACAGCTAGCAATTAAATGGCACATAAGACGCTGTAAAGGAAGACTAGCTTCTAAATACTACTTAAATGCTGGGGAGGCTTATCAAGCAAATTTAGGGCATCAGAAAAGTTTAAGAAAAAGAATTAGGCTGGGTGCAATGGCTCACACCTGTAATCCCAGCACTTTGGGAGGCCGAGACGGGTGGATCACGAGATCAAGAGATCGAGACTATCCTGGCTAACATGGTGAAACCCCATCTCTACTAAAAATACAAAAAAATTAGCCGGGTGTGGTGGTGGGCACCTGTAGTCCCAGCTACTCCGGAGGCTGAGGCAGGAGAATGGCGTGAACCCAGGAGGTGGAGCTGGCAGTGAGCCGAGATCGCGCCACTGCCCTCTAACCCGGACCTGGATGACAGAGCGAGACTCCGTCTCAAAAAAAAAAAAAGAAAAAAAAAAAAGAATTAATCTGCCTTAAATACTTTATGTGAGTTTAGGTAGATGATCTGACCAATGACTTATAGGCCCCTTTCTGGGGCCTAATGTTTTTAAACCATGTGCTTCTACTCACTAGTAGTTTGTAGGCTTGCTTCTCAACACTTAAAATTTGAAAAAATTGAAAACAGTATTTAAGAGTCTGCTAGATTCCAATTAATCACATCTTAAAGATAAGGGATCTAGCCTAAATCTTTAAAATATCAATAATTTTGGCCGAGGGCAGTGGCTTACGCCTGTAATCCCAGCACTTTGGGAGGCCAAGGTCAGGAGTTTGAGACCAGCCTGACCAACATGGTGAAACCCCCTCTCTACCAGAAATACAAAAATTAGCCAGGCATGGTGGCACACACCTATAATCCCAGCTACTCAGGAGGCTGAGGCAGGAGAATTGCTTGAACCCAGGAGGCGGAGGCTGCAGTGAGCCGAGATTGTGTCACTGCACTCCAGCCTGGGCAAGAGATTAAGACTCTGTCTCAAAAATAAATAAAATAAATAAATAAATAAATAAATAATTTCAAAACAACAAGATAAGCAACAGTGGTAATCAAACAATGGTATTTCTTGCTTGATAGATTATTAAACTAAATGGATTTATTAGGATCTTAATGTATTCTAAATGTAAAGAACTTGGGTATCTGTATCATAATCTTATACACACTTCATACCAACCAATCTGTTCAAATGTGCTGTTATACAGATAATCAATTCATTCCTCAATTTCTTTTTTTTTTTTTTTTTTTTTTAAGATAGAGTCTTGCTCTGTTGCCCAGGTTGGGGTGCTGTGGTGTGATCACAGCTCACTACCTTTGACCTCCTGGGCTTAAGTGATCATGTTGCTTCAGCCACCTGGGTAGCTGGGATCACAGGAGCGTGTCATTCCACCCAGCCTCCTTAATTTTATATATAGTCCAGGTGTGGTGGCTTACACCTGTAATCCCAGCAGTTTGGGAGGCCAACGCGGGTAGATCACTTGAGGTCAGGAGCTCGAGACCAGGCTGGTCAACAGAGTGAAACTCCATCTCTACCAAAAATACAAAAAAAAGTCAGCCAGGCGTGGTGGTGCATGCCTGTAATCCCAGCTACTTGGGAGGCTGAGACAGGACAATTGCTTGAACCAGGGAGGCGGAGGTTGCAGTGAGCTGAGATCATGCCACTGCACTCCAGCCTGGGCAACTGAATGTGACTCTGCCTCAAAAAAAAAAAAAAAAAAAAAATTTATGAGCCGAGCGCGGTGGCTCATGCCTGTAATCCCAGCACTTTGGGAGGCCAAGGCGGGCAGATCACCTGAGGTCGGGAGTTCGAGACCAGTCTGACAACATGGAGAAACCCCATCTCTACTAAAAATACAAAATTAGGTGGACATGGTGGCACATGCGTGTAATCCAAGTTACTCAGGAGGCTGAGGCAGGAGAATCGCTTGACCCCAGCAGGTAGAGGTTGCGGTGAGCTGAGATCGTGCCACTAATCTGTAGCCTGGGCCAAAAGAGCAAAACTCCATCTCAAAATAAATAAATAAATTTATGTATATAGATATATATATGTATATATCTCATATATATTTCATATATGATATATATCATATACATATATTAATAGTTTTGACCTTTATTTTGTCCCATTCATATTTTGGAATTGCTTTTACAAAGTTTTTTATGTCTTATAAACAATGTAAAACATTTGTTTTTATTTTTATTTATGTTTTCTTGAGACAGGGACTGGCTCTGTTGCCCAGGCTAGACTACAGAGGTGTGATCATGGCTTATTGCAGTCCCCACCTCCTGGGCTCAAGTAATCCTCCCACCTCAGCCTCCTGAGTAGCCGGGACTATAGGCACTTGCCACCAGGCCAGGTTAATTTGTTGTATTTTTTGAAGAGATGGAGTTTCATAATGTTGTCCACACCAGTTGGAATAAACCCATTTTAAACTTAAATATGGCATATTGTGGTGGTAAAATAGGACTTCACTAAATTTGCTGGAATAAATCTAATGCATTCACTGATTTGCTTGTCAAGTATTAGATACTAGAAAGATTTAACTGGTTTTAGAGGATTAATGGTCTTATATTTTATTACTCTTCATATAACACTATTTGAAATTCAGAAGATTATATCTTTCAGTAGCACAAATTCCTTTTTTATTTTTTTGGTTTGTTTGATATAGGGTTTGGCTCTGTCACCCAGGTTGGAGTGCAGTGGCATGATCGTGGCTCACTGCAGCCTTGACCTCCTGGGCCCAAGCAATCCTCCCACCTTAGCCTTCCAAGTAGCCAGGACTATAAGCACACACCACTATGCCCAGTACATCTTTGTATTTTTTTGTAGGGACAGGGTTTTGCCACATTGTCCAGGCTGATCTTGAATTCTCAGGCTCAAGTGATCCTCCTACCTCAGCCTCCCAAAATGTTGGCATTGTAGGTGTGAACCATCGCACCCAGCCTTACAAATTCTTCATTGCAGTCACTTCCTGATCACCCTTACTAAAAGAAGAGATCATTGGTGCGAAAGAAAAGCAACTGATATTTGAAATTTATTAGTTTACAGGGCAAGTTCAACTATGAATTACAGACTTTTGTTGTTTGTTCAGGGTTTCTTTGGGACATTTAATGAATCTATATTCCGTGAGTACAAGGAAAGGACATGCAGGATTAATGGTGCTGGCAGGAAAAAAAAAAAAAGCTGAAGTATTTATTCAGTATGGTTAACCTGCCAAATAACCAAATAGAGATGGGCCGAACATTTGCTCCTGTAAAGTATTTAAGTAATAAAATTAAATTTAATTTAGATGAAAATTTAAGATAAAGAAATATTTCATATCTGAAAAACAGAGAGTTCTTGCATACTTGTGCAATTCTTTTTCTTGCCGTTGCAGTTCTGATGATAGCAAAACATTTTCCCTTTTTAGAGAATGGCATTCAGTTTCCAATGCATTCCATTCCTTTCTCAACTTCTCTAGTTCACCTAAAATAGTCCCAAAACGTATTTGTTAATATAGAAATACAACTTCTATAATATTTCAAAGGATAAAGGAAAAGATTTCAGAGAAGAACATACTTTTTTGCCCCCTTAAAAGCACGTAGATTTTACATGGTTAATTATTTGATTTCTGTTGCTTTGCATGTATACCTCAAGGACAGCTATCAGCTCGTACTTGAACAACAGTATTTTTTTCCACTTAACTTTTATAAGACAAGCAATTTTTAACAATTTTAAAATAAAATATAAAACCATAAAAAAAAATAAGTTTAAGTAAACTTGCAGACCTGAAAATACATTTTTAGCTCTGATTTAAAAACACTGGTTTATACAACTGATAGCTAACAAAGGAAAAAAAAAACCTGCATTTTTTTTTTAAAAACAAGTTATAAAGTTATCATTGTCAAAAGTTAAGAGCTTTATGTAAAATACATTTACTCACCTTGCAACCTTGTTGCTTCCTCTCTCTGCTGGTCCTCACACTGTTGACATCTAAGCTGAAAACTGTTTTGCAGACTTGTGATTTCTTTCTCATATTCAGACGCTGCTTTCCGCCACCGCTCAAGCTCAGCTCTCACCTTCTTAAGCTCTTGTTGTAAAGAAGCAATGTCAGTGTCCCGCTCAGAGGCAGCCTTTTCTGCTGCTTGATGAAGGAGCAAAATTTCATCTCGGGCACTAAGCAATTCATCTCTAGTACTTGTGATTTCACTGTCCTTCTCCTCCCGGAGATTCTCAATATCGATGTGTAACCTCTGCAACTGGGCTGCAAAAGTATATCCATCATTTTCTTGGCCCATTAGGATTAGGAATAAAATAATAATCCATACAGGATTGTACCTAATGCATAGCCTGGGTTATCAGAGCTGCTGCTTTTGATTAAAGTGTATAAACAATCCACGTTTGATGCAGAAAGTGTCAAAATACAGATAGCAAAGAGGAAAAAAACCCAAAGTGATCTTTATCTCCCCAACACACAGAAAATTACTTCTGACATTCCTTCTAGATTTTTTCCTATGCATTTATACACATATACAAACATTAAACAGGGAGTGATCAAAATATATTCAGTGTTGCCTATTCTTCTGTTGATGAAACTCTTTCAACACAAAATAGTTATAGTATATGTAACTTACTTGCCCAACCCTTTATTTTTGACATTTTAGGCTGTTCAGTGTTTAAACACTATATACTTATTTTTATTTTTATTTTTTTTTAGGGTGAATCCTATGTGTAGAATAGATTGGTCAAATGGTAAGCAATAAACAGTTGATGCTCTTGATTCATTTTTCTGTTCAAATGTCAATTCTTTAAAGAGGCCTTTTCTGATGACTCATCTGAAAAACAGCTCACTGTCATTCTCTGGCTCTTTACTCTGATTTATTTTCCTTTGAAGTCCTTATTGGACATCATAGTCTCTATTAATTTGCTTATTGTTTAACTTTTCTACTGAACCGTATACCTCATGTAGGGCATTTGTTTTGCTCACAGCTGTAAACAATCAAGAATTATTGGTTGAATTAATGAGTTAATAAAATTAATACTGCCTCACTGAAGGGTTATATATATTTTTAAAATACCTGGTTTTGTGCTCATGACCCAAACTGGAAACCATTTGTATAAAATCAAACTTGGTGCAGAACAAGAAAATTAATCTTGGTTACCATATTATAAGGAAATTATAGATTTAAAAAGTTCCAAAGGAAAATAATTAATTATAAGAGGATTTAGGGGTGGGAGAAAGGGAGGTTGCTACGTAAGTAAACATTAAGATATTAGACTTTCTAAATTTGTAGGAAGAATTGAGAGGTAACAAGTTTGGAATCTGAAAGGGCACAGTGGCCAGAGAAGATGATCATGATTTGTTGATATAGTCGTGAAATACACATGCTGGCACTAGGGGGCACTCAATGATGCCTGGGCAAGACAGGTTTAAAACAAAAGGCAGCACTATGTCACAGAACCTTTAGGAAAAATTGCCCCTACACAGTCTAGGATGAAAATAGAGAATCAAATCAGATTTATGTAAATTAATGGATAATAACATTAAACTACAATAGGAGTTTTAAGAGCTTTCAATTTAAAAACATATATGACATACCCTAGAAATCCTAATTTGACCAAAATAAAATTCTAATTTTAAATAACTCAAAAGTTCCACTAAAAAAATAAGACCCCAAAGACTAGTTTTTCTCTGAAATATTTTTGGACAAGTATCTTGGGACTCATACAACGACTCTCCTTTCTCTTCTTAATAGTGATTACTTGTCTATTTAATTTCTTCCCCACCTATCTCTCAAGCTAAAATTTTAAAACAACATTGGCTCCTTCTTTGACAAGAAAGCAAATTAATTTTACTTTAGGAATTTTATAATGGCATGGGAAAGGAAGACCTCTCCTGGGGTATCATACAATCTCCTCATAATATACCAGGAGCTCCAGCTTGAAGTAAACACTCGACAGGCAGGGGTTTTTCTGGAAATTTCTGTAATGACCCTGCAATAGCTCAGACAAAGAAACAGCAAAATGGTGATAAAAAGAACAGCCATTATCAAAGAAAATCAGTGCAGAGACTATTATCCTATTCCATGTGATATATAATTGTTTTTGAGGCTGGGCGTGGTGGCCCACGCCTGTAATCTCAGCACTTTGGGAGGCTGAGGTGGGTGGATCACAAGGTTAGGAGTTTGAGACCAGCCTGGCCAATATGGTGAAACCCCATCTCTACTAAAAATACAAAAATTAGCTGGGTGTAGTGGCGTGCACCTGTAGTCCCAGCTGCTCTGGAGGCAGGAGAATCACTTGAACCCAGGAGGCGGAAGTTGCAGTGAGCCGAGATCGCACCATTGCACTCCAGCCTGGGCAACAGAGCAAGACTACGTCTCAAAAAACAAACAAACAAACAAAAATTTTCTTGCAATACAAGTGTGTTCTGAGCATCAGATGTCAGTATATCTACACCAGCCATCAATATATACACATACCAGCTAGCTCAAAGTGCTGATGCACAGAGTAGCTCAAACAGATTTCCCATCCAAAGGCCCTCTGTAGGAACTCACAACATAACCCAGAAAGTGACAGTCTTACCAACTGCAAATCTTCCCCTCTGCTTTTTCCATTCTAAGTGTCTAATACGGGAGTACTGGACAATCTTCCCTTGAATTTTCTTAATAAATAAATAGGCCAGGCGCAGTGGCTCACACCTGTAATCCCAGCACTTTGCGAGGCCGAGATGGGCGGATCACCTGAGGTTGGGAGTTTGAGACCAGTCTGACCAACATGGAGAAACCCCCTCTCTACTAAAAATACAAAATCAGCTAGGCATGGTGGTGCATGTCTGTAACCCCAGGAGGCTGAGGCAGGAGAACTGCTTGAACCTGGGAGGCGGAGGTTGTGGTGAGCTGAGTTCGTGCCATTGCACTCCAGCCTGGGCAACAGGAGCGAAACTGTCTCATTCATTCATTCATTCATTCATTCATTCATAAATAAATAAATAAATAAATAAAGCAAGCTCCACCAAGAGCCGTGTTGAAATGTGAGGTTCTAGAGAATCAAAGCCATGAAGAATGGGGACTCTCGGCCGGGCGCGGTGGCTCAAGCCTGTAATCCCAGCACTTTGGGAGGCCGAGATGGGCAGATCACAAGGTCAGGAGATCGAGACCATCCTGGCTAACATGGTGAAACCCCGTCTCTACTAAAAAATACAAAAAACTAGCCGGGCGAGGTGGCGGGCGCCTGTAGTCCCAGCTACTCAGGAGGCTGAGGCAGGAGAATGGCGTAAACCCGGGAGGCGGAGCTTGCAGTGAGCTGAGATCCAGCCACTGCACTCCAGCCTGGGCGTCAGAGCGAGACTCCGTCTCAAGAAAAAAAAAGAAAAAAAGAAAAATGGGGACTCTCTGCCTTCTTACTTCCTATTCCATTTTTTTTTTTTTCCTGAGCTAGAGTCTTGCTGTGTCACCCAGGCTAGAGTGCAGTGGTGCAATCTCAGCTCACTGAAACCTCCACCCCAGGTTTAAGCGATTCTCCTGCCTCAGTCTCCCAAGTAGCTGAGATTACAGGCATGCACCACCATGCCCAGCTAATTTTTGTATTTTTAGTAGAGACAGGGGGTCAGCATGTTGGCCACGATGCTCTCGAATTCCTGACCTCAGGTGATCTACCCTTCTCGGCCTCCCAAATGCTGGGATTACAGGCATGAGCCACTGCGCCTGGCCTCCGTTCCTTTTGAATCACTAAAAACACACACACAATAACAATCTCAAAGAGCTTTGGGGTCTTCCGTACCTTGAAGAACCTGTATTTGTTTAGTGGATTCCTCAACTTGATTTCGATAGGCTTTTCTTTCTTCTTCCAAAAGAGCTAAAAGTAAAAACACAGTATCTATTAATAGTTTTGTGAATTAATGAAAGTACCCAGAGTTGAGCAGCTGAAAATTTCTTTTAAAACTCTCTCCTAAAAGATTATTGAAAGAAACAAAAGTTAGGCAGTATTAGCAGTATTAGCAGTTAGTTTAAAGATTTTAGGAGCACAGGACTGTAGTAAGTAATAAATCTATTCAACTGAGTAGTGGAGTTTTCTGGACCTGGTATCACCAAGAGAGTATGTGCTTTTCTTAACATGAGAAACAGTCTTGATAATTGTTAATCGGCATTTTTGAATTTAATTTTTTAAAAAGACTTAAAATTCTCATATTTACTGTCAAGCACATAGTAAACACTAAACTAAATAATTGCTGTTAACTAAATATTTTTTCATTGTAATTTAATATATTAGCCTGGATCCTCCAAAAGGTTCAAGTTAAGTGAATACCAATTCTAATTTCTTTGAGAAGCAGGAAAGGAAAGAAGTAGTAACAAGAAGTTCCTAGTTCCGTCCTGGGACGTAAATCTTCCTACTGGGCAGGAAAGCCATCTTGGAGAGCATAAGGACTCCATAGGTCATTCCCTTTCTCATTTTAAGACTCTTTGAGATACTAATTGTCTGCAACCAGGTAGTTACTGTGAATGGTACAGAAATGTAAGCTCTAGGGAACTGCACAGACTCCACTGGCTTATGACCTACAGATAAGTGAGCTACTAGAAAAGAACGTGGCTAGGACATTAGCTAACATTAGGCATAACGAAAATTTAGAAATTTGAGTTTTCCTTCTGTTGTACTTAATATGCAATTAACTATTAAGATCTTTCAGTTAGTAAAGATCTTACTTGATTTTCACATCAACAGTGTGAAGGTAGAGCAACTGTAACTCCCCTCATTTTACTGACCTGAAACACAAGTTTAGAGAGGTCAAGTAAATATACCAAGATCACATATCTCATAAAGTTGTGAATCTAGAACATGCCTCTGGACTCCAAGTTTGGGGCCATCCAATTATATCGTGCTGCCTCCACACATCCCTAAAGAACCAAAGTAATCTTGATCTCACCTTGAAGTTCAAAGCATTTTTGTTTACTTGTTCTAGCTAGCTCCTGGGCTTCGATCAATTCCTTTCGAAGATGCTGTATTTCTTGCTTTGCCTCAATTTCTGACTGCGCACCCTGCAAGTCATCTGACAAAAACATGTTTATTTTAAAAGCAAGAGTTAGTATCACACTATAATCTCTAAAATAAAAGACTGGTAATCTCTTTCATGTTTGCACATGCATAAACAACACAGAACAACTGAGTTAAATAAAACTTGGAAGCAAATTACAGTAAGCATTTTAGTAATTGGGAAAAAATACAAATACAGTTACATATATTAGTAATCATGGTGATGGCACTATAAAACATACATTAACATAAATTATATATTCACAATTTTAGCATAAACATAATGACAGTGATAGATTATAACTCATTGCTTATTAAGACTTGAAATTCAGTGAGATGAGCAAAATGCTATTCTTCATCAATTTTGAAATTTCTTGATACCAGTCAGAAAAATTTCACTTGGAACTTAACTGGATATGGAAAACAACAAGAAACTTTTCTTCAAGAAACAGCTAAATTTTAGCACAATTACCCTAGTTGTGGAACACAAAATAAAAACTAGGCTGAAAGCTCTACTGAGCTTACTTTGTCATCACCATTTCCCCAACACACACATATAACAATGTCTGGGCTGGGCGTGGTGTGGCTCATGCCTGTAATCCCAGCACTTTGGGAGGTCGAGGCGGGCAGATCACGAGGTCAGGAGATTGAGACCATCCTGGCTAATACGGTGAAACCCCATTTCTACTAAAAATACAAAAAATTAGCCTGGTGTGTTGGCAGGCGCCAGTAGTCCCAGCTACTTGGGAGGCTGAGGCAGAAGAATTGCTTGAACCCAGGAGGCGGAGGTTGCAGTGAGCCGAGATCGTGCCCCTGCACTCCAGCCTGGGCAACAGAGCAAGACTTCATCTCAAAAAAACAAAAACAAAAAAACCCCAACAATAACAACAAAAATCTGCTGAATATATTAAATGATGTAACCTAAGTGGTTTTACTGAAATAAATTAAATCCAGCATTCTATTTCAAATATGCCCCTTCCCCTAACCTCCTTCCTCTCCAATCACTCTGCTCCTTTTTAATTGTATTAAAATCTTCTGCTACTGAACTCTGCCTGAAATAAATATATCATCAGGTAAGCCATATTCTTCTAGTGATATGTAAGTATCACCTTGGTTTATAAGTACCTCAGCATAAGAACTTCAATCCATCAAAAAAGAGCTAAGAATAACTTTCACAATACAATTACAATAGGTTTTGGAAATTCATATTTATAGATTATATCCTATTTTTCTCTCTAGAAAAATTGTATTCTGGCCTAGCAGCGGTTCATGCCTGTAATCCTAGCACTCTGGGAGGCTGAGGCAGGCGGATCACTTGAGGTCAGGAGTTTGAGACCAGCCTGGGCAACATGGCAAAACCCCGTCTCTAGGAAAAATACTAAAAATCAGTTGGGCGTGGTGGTGTGCGCCTGTAATCCCAGCTAGTAGGGAGGCTGAGGCATGAGAATCACTTGAACCTGGGAGGCAGAGATAGCAGTGAGCCAAGATCGCGCCACTACACTCCAGCCTGGGTGACAGAGAGCGACTGTGTCTCCAGAAAAAAAAAAAAGAAAGAAAAAAATTTGATTCTGGGTTCATCTACTCTAGTCAACCTATCAATTCTTCCTTCAAAAGGTCTTTTGGCCAGGGAAGGTGTATGTACAGAGAGAGATTTTTCCAGTGGCATAGACACTGTTGCATTAGCTACAAAACTTCTCTCACAGCTCTTTCGACACTATCTACTGGAGTCTGCAAAGGTCCTGGCCCCTGTTTCTGGATTTGTCATTATATAGGAAAATGCTCTTTTTTTTTTTTTTTTTTTTTTTTTTAGGGAGTATTTAGGAGAGAAGCATCATGATGCCTGCACCTTACATTCAAGTAGTTTGACAAAAACATCGACATTAATTCCTTGAGTGGATATTTTTCTTGCTCTGTGATCAAGTTTTTCAACCTCAGTGCTACTGACATTTTGGGCTGAATAAACTCTTTGCTGTGGGACTACCCTATGAATTGTAGGATGTTTAGTAGTTTTCCTGGTCAGATATTGTCAAATGTCTCCTGGGAGGTAAAATGTCCTGTGTTGAGGACTATTGCTATATGTTAATAATTTGATAATCAAAAAAAATTCATACACAGGTTTCTTTTCTACAAAAGCACTGGCTATTAATTCTGAAACAACTTTCTGTGTATTGTAAAAAGGTTCAAATAAATACATTATAGATAAATGCAGCCACTTTTCTCACTGTTGAAGAAGAGAATTACAGATATGAAAATAGGTAAGATAGAATTAATCCTCTGGGCCAGGCACAGTTGCTCACACCTGTAATCCCAGTACTTTGGGAGGCCAAGGCAGGCAGATCTCTTGAGGTTAAGAGTTCAAAACCAGCCTAGGCAACATGGTAAAACCCTATCTCTACTAAAAATATGAAAATTAACTGGGTTTGGTGATGCACACCTGTAGTCCCAGCTACTCGGGAGGCTGAGACAGGAGAATCGCTTGAACCCAGGAGGCTGAGGCTGCAGTGAGCTAAGATCACACCACTGCACTCCAGCCTGGACGACAGAGTGAGACTCTGTATCAAAAAAAAAAAAAAAAAAGGATTAATCCTCTGGTGTAGGGTATGAAAACTCGAATAGATTTGGAGAAATATATAGAAATAAATATAGATATGTGTACAACTGCATACACACACAAAAACACACACACACTTCTTAAGTCTGTCCACTGAGTGAGCCTAGAAGCAATTATACACCAGTAGCTGTGGGGACACCAAACATTTAGATCCTGGTTTCTCTTTTTTTGAGACAGGGTGTTGCTCTGTTGCCCAGGCTAGAGTGCAGTGGTGCCATCACAGTTCACTGCAGTCACAACTTGACCTCCTGGGCTCAAGCTATCCCCCTTCCTCAGCCTCCCTGAGTAGCTAGGACCACAGGCATGTGCCACCATGCCCAGCAAAATTTTTAATTTTTTGTAGAGATGGGGTCTTGCTGTGTTGCACCAGAGCTGAATAAATTCTCTGCTGTGGGACTACCCTATTAATTGTAGGATGTTTAGTAGTTTTCCTGGTCTCTATTCACTAGAGTCAGTACCCCCCTCTATCCCACCCCACATCCCAGGTCACAACAACTAAAATGTCTCCAGATATTGCCAATGTCTCCTGGAAGATAAACTCGAACTTCTGGGCTTAAGAGATCCTCGGCCTCCCAAAGTGCTAGGATTATAGGTATGAGCTACCATGCTGGGCCATGTCATAAAGAACATTACTGAGACAACTGTCAAAATGTGAACAGGTATTTGGATTCGAGAATAGTAATGTACCCATGTTAATTTCTTAATTTTGAGAATTGTATGGTGATTACATAAGATAAATAAGAAATGTATACTGAGGTATTTAAGCATAAAGGCCATCATGTCTGCAACTGATTCTTCGTTTTGTTTTCTTTTGTTTCAAGATGGAGTCTGCTGTTGGCCAGGCTGGAGCGCAGTGTCACAATGTCTGCTCACTGCAGGCTCTACCTCCTGGGCTCAAGCAATTCTCACACCTCAGCCTCAAGAATGGCTCGGACTACAGGCATGCATCACTGTGCCTGGCTAAGATTTGTAGTTTTTTGGTAGAGTCAGGGTCTCACTGTGTTGCCCAGGCTGGTCTTGAACACAGTGTTTGATCACAGAAGTGGAGACACTGACCAAAAATCTTTACAAATTAAGCTTAATAAACACAGACATAATAATCTGACTATATTCAAACTAATCGAATAGTGTGCAGATCCTCTTTCTAGAAAACCGAGTACCATTTTTTTAAAAAATCAAAGATTTAATGAGCAATTCTTTTTGTGCAAAGGCTGATCAAGGGCTCATTGCATTTTATATGGTTGTGTGGGAAAATGCATTATTAGTTTATTGTGGCTTGGGTCCATTCTCATGGTGCCTTGTTTTTGTCCTAGAAATGGAGTTTCTATATCAATCTGTTTCACAACCTTGGGGAGTCTTGTGATGAATACTGGTGGAAAAGTGTTTAGATGAATATAAATGAAAGCCTTATTAAGCCAAATTCATTTTATTTAGACATGCAAGTCACATGGAAATAAATGTTATTTAGGAGTAATGTAAGTTGTAAAGATTAACAGAATCTGTTTTTTCCTTAACATAAATTGTATATCTTTAGAACTGCCTGGTGAATAGTCTAGGCCAGGGCCCAGTTTTTTCTCAGACTAAGGCTAAATCCTGTAAATTCACACAATAAATGAACTGACAGACTACCTACCTACATCATATCCTAAATTAAATTTGGTGTCACCAAATATCTTCAAAACAGTGACTGGAGATTCAATTTAAACTCTGACCTTTGCTCAGCTAAACTTTGACACTGATCCACCTGGTAAAAGGCCAAATCAAAGATTTTTTTCCCAAGTTCTATTTTGCATGTGCATGCTTGTGGAAAGCTGATCTAGCCATAACATATGGCATGTCATCAACTGATAGAAGTGACCTGGCAAGTGGATGTGTCCTCTTTCCATCACCATCACTCTTCCCTTCAGAATGTCTAGTCATTGAAGGCTTGGTTGATGAGAACAACCTTCACAATGCAGGAAGATCATCTTTCCATTGTGGATATGTGTGGCCATGTCAAATAGTCTAAGGTAGCAGCCTCTTATTGTCAATTCTTACTCCTTTGCCACTCTTTCTGAACTGCCAGGTTCCTTCTCAACAGCCGGATCTTTTACTTTCCCCATTGTTCTTTTCTTTCACTAGTAAGTCCCTCTGCTACCACTGTTCACACCTGTGCAGAGAATTTCTAAACCTGGTTCCTACCTTCTGTCTATAGCCTATAGATATCTCTCAGGTCAATAAAACATCTGAGAAATAAATGAAAATGACTTGTTGGTTCTAGTTTCTGTTCTGCACATCCAGCTGCATCTCCAGTTCCTAGGGTGACCATATAAAACTGGGACAGCTTTGAATATGAGAGAGAGCACTTTTGATAATTATGCTGGGACAATAGGCATAAATGGTCCCAGGCAAACCCATGGTCACTC